CACTTAACCCTCGCGACTCCAAGAAGCTTTGCGAGGTGATGCGCCCGGGGCCCCACGGCGCACGCGAAAGCCCCCTCCCCACCCCCGCCGCCCCGGCACTCAGGGCTGGGTCTCAGGTCTGCCCCCGACTCCCCGGGGCGATGCAGGACGCAAGCAGCTGGTGTCTTGGGAGGTCGAGGGAGGGACCAGGAACCGGGCGGGCGACCTCGGCCCCGGGGGCAGCGGGGAGCTCAGTGACGGGGTCTAGTCTCCGGGCAGCTCTGCAGGCGGACCGGGGGCGGGGGGGCCCTCGGTGCGCGGCCTGGGATCTGCGAGCGGCTGCCCGGGCTCTCCTTTCTCCCCCCTCCCCGCGAGCCAGCCCGGACTGACGCGGTGGTGTCCGGACGGGAGGAAACCCCGGGTCAGCCTTGCGACCGCGAGGGGACCAGGGGGTGGGGTCGGGCCTGGAGCAAGGGAGGGAGCGACCGCGGGGCGGGGCCGGGGGCGGGGCGGGCCCGAGGGCCTGGGAGGCTCAGCTCCCCTGCTGCGGCGGCCGCGGGACGGGGCGGGGCGGGGGTAGGGCCCCCCAACCCGAGGACTGGCTGCCCCGCAGGTTGGGGCCCGGCTCGGGCGGGTCCTCAGGGGGCCTGGGCGGGTTTACGCGCGACCCCGGGCGCGGGCAGCGCCGAAGGAGACCCCTCGCCGGACACTCAGATCCCTGTGCTCCCAAGAGGGAGACGAGACCTGGGGGCCTAAACAAAGAAGTCCGTGCGCGGACAGAAGCTGTTGGACCGGCTGCCGGACTCCGGCCAGGGCGGCGCCTGGCCCCGGGGGACGTGGGCCACGAGGGTCACCAGCCTCGCTCAGGACAGACGAGGAAGGGGGTGAACCTCTGGGAGGGGGCTGGCTGCCCGGGGATTTAAGATGAGACGGAGTCATGACCCGATGCTGGAAAACAAATGCTCCCAACTCGGGGTCAGCGGGGACAGATGGCAAGGTCACAGGGTTCATCAGCTGGAGGCAGCTGGTGCCACCAGATGGTCAAGAAATGCCACACAAAGCAAAATGACAACAAAAACCTGGGCTAAGCAGGCGTGGGGCCAGGCTGACTCCAGGTGAGGACCCGGGAATCCACAAGGTCAGCACAGCCCTGCAGTCCCGGTGCTGAGCAGGAGGGGGCGGTGTTTGCGTAGAGTTCGTGCGCTAGTGCGTGCCTGTGTGTGTGTGTGTGTGTGTGAGAGAGAGAGAGAGAGAGAGAGAGAGAGAGAGAGAGAGAGAGAGAGAGAGACAGACAGACAGGCGGGGGGGGGGGAGCGAGCATTGGCCTGGATCCTGGCAAGCCATCCTTTGTCCCCCGTTTGCCCTCCCAGCGACCGGCCGCCATCAGCTGGGGCCCGCTGCCAGGGGACAGCCATTCAGATCGGGTGCTGGGGCTCGGTCTCCTTGCTGCAGGGGATTCTGGGATCTTCCTTACCTACATTTCTCAAACTCCTCACGGTGACGGCAAAGCCTTTGGTGCGTGGCAGCAGGTGGTACTTGAGGCTGGGCAGCCCCTTGGCTCGGGCCACCTGCATGCTGATCTGGTGCTTCTTCTCCGTGAAGCGAGTGCCCTCGCAGTGAATCAGGAACTGGAAAGGACAGGGCGACGGTCACACACAGCTGCCGGTCTCACACACAGGGCCCCCGGTCACGCTCATTCTCAGAGTCACGTGCTGCCCCCGGTCACACGCCTCGGTCACACACGGTCCCCCAGGAGCCCTAGGGAACGGCCAGAGTGGGGACAGCCTGGCGGCTGCGTGGCCCCCGGCCTCAGGTGGGGCGCAGAGGTGGCCTTCCTGTCTCTGAGCTTTGGAGACCAACGTTTACCCTGAGGGTAGTAGAGGAGTGAATGTGTGTGTGGCAAGAGTGTCCCGAGTGTGTGTGACAAGAGTGTCCTGAGGATTCATTTCTAAACCAGTCAGTTCAGAGGGAAGGACAAGTGTGTGACGGTGGGGAGGCCAGGGGGGGCAGTTGGCAGGAGCGAGGGGTGTCAGGCCCTCAGAGCACCGAGGGGCGTGGCACCGGGGGGCGTGGCCGCTCGGCGTCGGGGGTGGGGGGGTGCGGGGGGGGGGGTGTCTCACGTACAAAGTACTTCTCGGGGTAATCCCGGAGGTGCAGCAGGCTCTGCGAGACGGTCTTGCGGTCTTGCTCCCACTTGCGTGTGCAGAAGACCATCTCGGTGAAGTACCACATCCAGCCGATGATCGGGACGTAGGCCAGCTCCTTCTTGGCCAGGACTTTGGAGCCCTGGAACAGAGGAGGGGGCCCAGGAGTCCGCGAGGGGGATTTGCGGGGCCTCTCCCACGGCGGTTGGAGACGCTACTAGAAAAAGTGGAGAGGACGCGCTCTCCGAAGGCCTAAGGGGACGGTCCCACAGCACAATGAAGCCGGAGCCTCCGTAGCGGTTAACTTGAGGCCAAGTTTGTGCTAAGTCTGCGGGGCGGGGAGGAGGAGTGGGGCGTTCTTAGCGGGGCTGTGCAGGCATCCGGGCAGCGTCTGGAACAGCGAGGGACATTTAAGGGTCATCGATGCTCAGCTCATTTTCCAAGCTGGCCATGCAGTTGTGACACCAAACCCTTTCTGTAGGTCTCACTCAGTCCTCAGGCAAACTTGGCTGTGCGGGCAGGGCAGACATGATCTCCTTTCGCAGACTAGGAAATGGGGTGGGGTGGTGGTGGGAGCGGTTCTCTGCATCATAGAGCTGCAAAATGGGGAAGCCTGGAGTTGAGCGTAGCTCACCAGATCGTGTTGGGGCTCCCCACCCATCCCCTCGCTGGCTCATCTCTAAGGCTGGCAGTGGGGTCGGGACATCCCCCCGAGGCTGCCTGAGGCTGGCTCAAGACGCAAGGGCTTGGCCCACCAACCGGCGGGCCCCTGAGGCCGCTCAGCCAAGGCTAACCAGCTGTGCCAGTCTACACGGCCTGTGCTGGCCTGGGGAAGACCAGGGGTCCAGAGGGATGAGGGGAGACCCAAAACTGCCTTACATCTAGTGGGTTGGGCTCTATATTTTTCACCCTTAACTTTGGAATTGGCCAAGATACTCTTCGAGATAGCCGTCATTGATGAACGGCATGGGAGACCGAGGCAGCGATGCGGACAGTCGGGCAGCCATACGGACTGACGACTGTCTACGTATGCCCTGAGCCTACGAGACTTGTCACGTCCCCAGCAACCACACAACTGCAGCTCGGTGAAGACCAATAAGCCGATACGTATCCCCTTACGCACCTGTGCAGACTGGAGCGGCAAAAAACAGCCACTTGCCCCCTTTATGTTAAAGCAACAACAAACATCTTGCCCCACGGTGGGGAAGACAAAGCACAGACACCGTTCAGGTTCAGTGTCTCTATGTTTTGATGGGTTTTGCTTTTGTTATTCTCACAAACCCAACATGCAAGTTATCTCGAAGAGAACCAAGCCATAAGATCTGGGGCCTGTCCCCCGAGGACCTAAGAGGCCAGTCCTGCTGGGTCAGAGAACTCGCTGTACGTGGGCGGGGGGGGAGGGCGGACCGCTGTGTGCCAGGCATGGGCTGTGCACTTATATAAATTCTATTCAATTTGAAATCAAGAGAAATAGCCCCATTTTATAGATAATCAAACTGAGGCTCAGAGATGTGAAGTAGCTAGCCCAGAGTCACATTGCTAACCGCTATACCGGCCTGGTGTCCCCTCCTGCATCCCTCAGCTTAGTGTGGGCACTGACCCAGTTCTGGCAAGGTGGCTCAGAGGTCATGGTGCCCATGTTCTGGGGCTTCTGGAAGCTTTTGCTCCATGACAAAAAGAGAGATGGCCAGGAGGCCCGGCTCTTTTTCTGCCGTGAACATAGTTGCCAAGTGTATCACGGCTTTGACCATCATGTTGTAGCCCTGAGACAACAGCCTAGGAATGCTGAGGCCACTGGGGCCGCCGGGCCAGCCCAGGAGGCGTCTGGCTACAGCCCTGCTCTCCTCTGAGGCGGCAGAATGTCTCCCAGGCCAAAGCCCCTGGGTCAGGGTTTCCGTACACCTCCAGCTGACGAGGGCCTGTGACAGAGCATCAATCACATTACTGGTGAGAATCTTTCCTATGGTCAGCTTTTTTTTCTTTTCAACATGGGGTTGCTTTAAATCCTAAAAGCGTGAACGAATTATCCTGACTTGTGTTCTCTCGCACTAGGACTGAGAAGGAAGTGCCTGTCACTCAGAACGCAAAAGCAAATGGCCTTGGGGATCATCACTCTGCCCACAGGAGCCATTTAACAGTCCACCGGGTCTGTCCACTGCCAGCTTTCAGGTCGTGGGAGGCCCTGCCTCCCTTCCCTCAGCCTCCTCCTATTGACAGAAATGTTCTCATGCTCTCTGTTTCCTGTTACCTCCCTACTCACAGCCTGTGAGATGGAAACGAGAGAGAAAATCCTCCCCGATGAACTAAACTTACCTTCTTGGTACGTTAGGACTACTTACAAAAATTACATATCCTTGAACTCATCCCCAAAATACCTTGTGTCAACGTGAAGGGATTCTAAAACATGATCTGTTCTATAACAGAGAAGGGGATCATGTTCTAGAAGGTAGCAGCCACTGGGGCTAGGAAGGTGGGTGGCCCCATGCTGTCAATCACAACGGCTGTCTGGCGGGGAAAGTACTCTCAGGGGCATTTCCTATTAATGGTTCTATCCCACCAGATGCAAGTGGGCCTTTGGTAACCTACTGCTAAAAGGCAATGAACTTTGACGGTGATGTAGGATCTATGTGTAGACCAAAGAGGGGAGCTCAAGAGTCTATATGTCCATCACTGTCCTACTGTGTTAGAACACCGCGAACCATCTAAGTGCCCCACACTAGAAGGGCTCGATGAATTGTGGTATATATGGCAGACTGTATATACAGTGCATAATATGATGGTATAGAGCAGTTACTGTAGCCCGTGGGCCAAAGCGGCTCCACCACATGCTTTTATAAATAAAGTTTTATTGGGACACAACCACTCTCCTTTGGGTACGCACCGCTATGGCTTCCTTCACACCGCGACAGCTGAGTTGAATAGCTGTGACAGAGGCAACATGGTCCATAAAGCCTAAAATATTCACTGCCCCTCCAATTACAAAGTCTGCCAACCTTTGATTTAGAGCCACTAAAACTTGTTTTCTACAGATAATTTAATAGCTGGGGAAATGCTTATTATATGTTACCAAATTTAAAAATTTTTTTTTTTCAACGTTTATTTTTGGGACACAGAGAGACAGAGCATGAACGGGGGAGGGGCAGAGAGAGAGGGAGACACAGAATCGGAAACAGGCTCCAGGCTCTGAGCCATCAGCCCAGAGCCCGACGCGGGACTCGAACTCACGGACCGCGAGATCATGACCTGGCTGAAGTCGGACGCTTAACCAACTGCGCCACCCAGGCGCCCCGTGTTACCAAATTTTTAAAAGGTCTGGAATGAAAGCTGAGTCTATAGCCTGATTATGACTCCATGAAAAAAGTAAAACAGTAAAAAATAACAGTAGCTAGAGGCGGGTGGTCAAATCAGAAGTGATTTTTTTTTTTTTTGAAAGCGAAAGAGAGCAGGGGAGGGGCAGAGAGAGAGAGGGAGAGAGAGAGAGAGAGAGAGAGAATCCCAAGCAGGCTCTGAGCTGTCAGTGCAGAGCCCCACATGGGGCTTGAACCCACAAATCATGAGATCATGACCTGAGCTGAATCCCAAGAGTCAGATGCTTAACCAACTGAGCCACCAGGCGCCCCCCCCCCGATTTTATTATTTTATTATATTTTCCTGTTTTCTTTCACCAACAAAATATTTTGCAGTGTTAAAAACAACTACCATTTTGGGAAGTTCTTGACATCGGCACATTTCAACCACTTAAGTGAGACCGGATCAAAGCAGCCCACTTGGTGATGATCAAAAGGGACAGAGGAGGTATTTCTGTTTTTATGGGGAATTCATACATCTTTCAGCCTTAAAGTTCTGGATGTTATCATTGGGCCTAGGCCTTGGTGCTGACTATGTTTACCTGATATAAGAACTGTTTTAAAATATTAAGGTAGAAACTTGTGCCTTTCAAATCAAAGCAACTTTATTTGATTTCCTTTCCTTGGCAAGGATAACAGGATTTGGAAAGCGTTGACATCAGTTCTGGCTTCGGCCAGGCTCTACCACGGCTCGGCCGTGTGACTTTGGTCCAGATACTTAACCTTCCCGAGCCTCAGTATTCCCAGCCGTCTTCTGAGGAAAGTCATACTTACCGCGACGTGCTGTTGTAAAGACTGAATACCACATGGAAGCATACACAAAAGTGCCGAGTTGAGAACCTGACCACGGGTGTTCAATCACGTATAGCTGTTATTATCGCCACAGAGTAAGCGGTGGTGAAATGTCCTTTTTTATTCCCCCCATTTCTGAAACCATGCTTCAGCATATGGTAATGGCGAAAGGCTGCGGTTATTACAGGGCTCCCCGAGAGGCAGTGTGCGAAGAGATTTACCCAACTTCGCTCATTTCAGACCAAGAGACGAGAAACTTTCTCCTCAGTGTGCTTACGGTCCTCCCGGAAACTCAATGTGCCATCACTGTCATGACCCTCCCAGGCCACGCAAGGGCTTCTGTGTGTGGACGGTAACGTCTTCAGGAAAGACACTGTACAAAAACAATACCAATTTTGTTGACTCTGGGTTTATTTTGAGGGTAGACCTGAGAGGATTTACAGAGGAGTTAGATTTACCACGGGCCCCTCTAGACACTAGCATATCTGGAAAATCAAAAATGTTCATAGGAAGCACAACTTCCTATGAGGAATCCACAACAGCAAGGACCTGGCCGTTTCTAGTAGCTGTTGGGAGTCGCTGACGTGATATCGCGTTCTGCAGTTTATGAAACTTTTGAGTGTGTGTGTGTGAGAGAGAGAGAGATGGTGTGTGTAGAGAGAGAGTATGTGTGAAAGTATCTATATGTGTGTGTTTGTGTGAGAAAGAGGGTGTGTGTATGAGAGTGATTGTGTGTGTGTGTGAGAGAGTGTGTGTGTATATAGAGAGTGTTGTGTCAGAGAGAGTGTGTGCGTGTGAGAGAGAACCATCTTACTACAGCTGCCCAATAATCTAATCAATTGGCTCATAACCTAGTTGGGACCACCCAATAGCTCAGGGAAGCAGCCAGCCCCACAAACCCCTTCAGCACCTCCAGCCAACTGGTCGACCCCTGTGCAGACACCGCGTGGTGCCAGAAAGAACTGCTTTGAAGATACACCGAGATCTGGTCCATTCCATCCCT